TGCTAAGCATATTCCCCGTGCAGACCCTGCTCATCTGCTGTTTTCTCTGCCTGGAATAGTCTTCTCTCAGTCATCTCCATGGCTACCTCTTTGCCTCTCTGGTCTTTTACAAAGGTCACTTTCTTAATGGGGCCTTCCCTGGCTTCTTATTTAAAACGTCAACACCCACCCAGCCATTCCTGGCATTCCCCACTCACCTTACTTTTCTCCATGGCACATCTCCTTCTAACATTTCACTTATCTTATTTATTGTGTGTCTCTTGCCACTAGGCTGTAAGCTGCATGAGAACAGGAGCTTTGCCTGTTTGTTCCCTGCCGAATTCCCAGTGTCCTGAGCCATGCCTCCCTCCTGGTAGATGCTTAGCCCGTATTTGTGGAATGGGTGGAGCTCTAATAGGAGGTCGTCTCTTCCCTCTAGCTACTTCTTTCTGACTTTGTATGGAGCTGTTGTCTTAATTTCTGTATGTGCTCGTCTGTGAAGCTAGTAGCGCATAGTAAAAAAAAAAAAAAAGCAGTAGACAGCCGCGTGCAAATCAAGCTTCCCACTTGGCTCTCTCATTCAAAAGCTGTGTAACTTGAGACAAGTCACTTTGCCTCTCAGAGTTTCCTTCCTTCCTTCCTCCCTTCCTTCCTTTCTTTCGCTTATAAAATGGTAAAAGCTACCCTGCCATCACTCAGGGTTGCTGTGGAGGTTCAATAGAATAATGTATGAAGTGCCATCAAACATAAGACGCAGTTTTCACTGACCATAGCATCTGGCCTTGACTCAATGCCAGAGCTTTACATATACGACTGTCTCGTTTAATTCTCACGTAGAATCAGTGAGACATGAACTTGTACAACTGAACTCATGTCACAGATGAGAAGACTGAGGTGCACCAAGAAATTAAGTGAATTACCTGAGAGCTAGTCAATGGTAAAGCCAGGCTTTGAACCCCAAAGCATTTTTATTCCATGGCCTGAGTTTTCCTCATTATGTTCTACTGGCACAAGATAAATGTTTTAATGACCAAATATGGAGTGATTAAAAGGATGTGACCTGAGGTGCAACTTCTGTCTCCAGATGATTTGTTTTCTGGACTGCTAATTAATGTAGCATTTCCCTTAATGTTATTTTTTCCCCCTCTTCAACTCAAACAGCAGAAATTCCCATCTTCCAAAGAAAAAAAGGTATTGTCAGGCATTTTTCTATCTTTCCCTTCCTCCCTCAAAGAATGAAATGCTATCCTGTGTCCCCGGAGATTTCTGTCATACGGCCTAACCAAGTCCAGATGGTTTTCTCAAGTTCAGACATCATACTTAGTAAAGTGTGTGTAGTTATCTACAGAAACAAGTTCTGGACTAAATTGCAAACACCCGCTTCCCAGATAACTTATTCCATGCTCTTCTGCCTTGTTTGTGTTATGGCCTGTCTGTGCTAATGAATTTGTAAATGTGGTTTAATTACTGTTTACCGGAAAAATAGCTGCACACAGATCAGTCTCAGTGGGAGTCTTAGCCAAAATGTTGAGGCAATTTGTTTCTAGGGCAAAAACAGCTAATAAATGAGAAGCACTTTTTAAATGTTGGGAGGGGAACTTAAATTTGGTTTTGAAGAAACAGTTTTTTATATATCCTGGGAAATAAATCATTCTTTAAGAGAGTGGATTTAAATATCAAAGTGGCATTTTTTTCCCCAAGGCCTTGCACTCGGTAATTTGCACGGAACCAAAGTATTCTAACAGTGATTTGATTGAATACCACACCAAAGGGCTATCCTCTAAAGAACTCACCAAAAGGAAAACTCAGAATTACTTGTAAATTCCAGAAAATGTTTCGGAGCTCTGTAAATCCATGTATTATGTATTACCTCATGTTTCTGAATTCTTGCCTCAGGCAAATCGCCAACTTAGCAACTAAATGACAGTTTTAAAATTCTAATAGAAACCAGCCTCTCCAACTTTTCTTTTTTTCCTCCAGGAGGAAAAAAAAAAACGGGACACAAGAGGGAAGTGAAAGTTATTGAAGGGTTCAATTTATAAATTCTGTTTGTGCGCTGCTTGGAGTTGTAGTTTAATTTTGCTCTTGCGTAAAATGGTATTTGCCTGATTCTGCGTAAAGGGGCACCTTTGAAAGTAAATAAATTCTCACGGGCAACTGTTGGTCCTGCTAATAGGGAGGAAGCTCTGTCACGCTACCCTTCGGGGCTTGCCTGCCTCAGAGCCAGAGTGGGCCGGTTCTGCCTTCAGTGAGAAAACAAAAGCAATCAACTTGGCAACTAATAAAGATGTTTGTCATTTCCTGAACTGTGAATATAACTGTGGATATAACAAAGAATTTGAGCAGTGTGAGATGCAAACCCTGCCCTCAAGAAGTTTATTTTTAGTGGGGGCAACAGACAGGTACACAGGCAATTCAATCTAAGAGATCCCAAGGCAGGGGGAGGGGGAATTGAGTGAAGGTGGTCAGCAAGTACAAACTTCCAGTTACGGTGTAAGATACATAAGTTCTGGGGATGCAGTGTACAGCATGGTGACTATAGTTAACAATATTGTGTTGTATATTTAAAAGTTACTAGGAGAATAGATCTTAAAAGTTCTCGTCAGAAGAAACAAATTCTGTAGCTATGTGAGGTGATGGATGTTAACTAGACTTATTCTGGTGATCATTTCCCAGTATATACATATATCAGGTCTTATGTCATATACCTCAAACTTATGCCGTGCTCTATGACAATTAGATCTCAATAAAATTAGTGGGCAAAAGAGACCCCAAGACCAAGTCTTAACTACCAAATACCTTTAGTGTCTCAAATAACCGTATGAAAACCAGGGCCTCATCTTTGGGGCAGAAAGACTCCTTTTCCAAGAAGGTTATTGCATATTTCCACATTGTAATTATTTATCTATCAGTCATTTCTTCATTCATTAACTCACCCAATGTTATTTGTGATGGGCCCTAGAGAGACAAAGTAACTTCAACAAGACTCCGTCTCAAGGAGCTCACCCTGCAGTGGGAGGGAGGCAGACATAAACAAACACCACAAAGTGAATATCTCAAAGAAACTGGGAATCATTATTAAAATGGAGATGTGTTATCTTTTATATATTCTATGTTTCCAATACAAGAAAAAGGTAAAATATAAGTGCAGAGCCCCTTTATTAAAAGGGATTTATCTTAACCATGCTTAAATCATAAGACTTTGGACGTGAGAACTGTAAGGTCAGATCTTAACAAACGGCACCGCGAAACAGAGGAAAGCTTCAAGTGAGCTTTATTAGAGAGCGCTCCCGGGCGAGGTTCACTGGTCCGAGAGAAAGGGGCCAGAGAAGTCGCACCCGGGCGAGGGTTGGGCAAGATTTTATAGGGGAAGAAGGGAAAGGGGTATGGTGAATCTGGGAGGGCGCAGGGTATTCCTTATTTGGTGGTCTTTTCAGGTATCCTGGGGGACCATTAGTCCTGCCCCTCGAAAGGCGGGAAGGCTGGGCTGGGTTGGGTTCAGAGTCCCCAGGTCAGTTCCTTGGAACTGGGTGGTCCGGAAAGTCTCCAGGTCAGTTTCTGGAACTGGGTGGTCTGGAGAGTTTTGGTCTGATGCAACCTGTGAATCTGATTGTGTTCCCCTGCCTCGGGCCAGTTGGCCTTAGAAGAACTAAGCTCAGATATCACCTCCTCCAAGAAAGCTTCCCTGATAGTACCCATGTCCCCTTTTGGCTTGAGTGTCCTTTCTGTGTACTCTCACTGCACCATGTCCATTCCCCTGATACCATGTTTTGAATTTTTATTGTGTTGTCCTCTTACTGCCACTACCACCTCGGTACATAAACAACTGGGTACCCCTTAAGGAGGAGGGGACACATCTTACTCTTTGCATTCGCAGCACTAGAAACATACCTGGTATATGGCACTCGGTTAATGTTGAATAGCTCTGTGAATGGGAAGATGATAATTACAGGTTTTTTCCCCATCTAATAAAAGTTGCCTTCATTCCCCACATTATATTAAGTTTTAAAATATGTAACAAAGGGTATATATTCTTGGTTTTTGAAATGTAAACGTATTAAAATGTAAATATATTAAATGTAAATGTATTAAAACATTTATTAATAGCATATTTAGATAAGGGTGCATACGAAAAATCTAGAAGGACACACACCGAAATGCTGGTGGTGGTTATCTCTTAAGTGTTAAGGTTTGAAATGATGCTAACTCTGTCTCTATGCATCACTGTGTTGTTTAACTGTTTTACTATGGATGTGCTACTATTATGATAAGAAAATATGAAGTTATTTGTATTTTAAAAAGGAAAATTTGGCCCATTTCATAAGCCACAATCATAGGACATAAACAACTTTATGAAACATCATCTTTACCATCTAACCCAATGTTAACAGTGATTTGACTTTGGATTTAAACAACTGACCAAGCTTGGTGGCATTTAGTGGAATTAAATGGGTTTCTATTTTCCTTACTCATGTCTGTGTTTATAATATTCAGAAGGTACCCAAGCACTTTATTTGCAGTTGTCTAAAACGTGCGAAATTATCTCTTTCGCTCGCTCTCTTTTGTTCCTTTCCTTTAATTCTCCCTGCTAAGACTTGGATTGGGTGTTAGAACCCCAGTCTTTTTAAAGCCAGGCTTAACCTCTTGCAAATAGATAAGGCAGAACTAAGTAACCAATTAATTCTCTCTCTCTCTTTCTTTCTGTCTCTTTTTCATTATAAATCTCCTGCTTTTAGGGTGGCTCTGTGTAGAAGAAATATCAGTTTTCTGGTCCGTGATAGTGTTCTGCTGTGCATCTTCTGCCCGCCCATCTTTCAACATTTTGTCTGGCTGACCAGAATGTTGGAAAACCCTAGACAGTGTTATTGGACTAACGGTTTATTTCTTTTTCCCAAAGGAACAATCACAGATTGTAAAATGTGCCTCTAAAGAACAGGTTTAAAAAACTATATATACTATATTCTTTTTTCTCTGCAGCTGAATTCCTG